CCCAGAGGAGATCATACGTAGCGGCCTTGACGGCCCGAAGCCCGAAGTTCTTCGGCTGTCTGTGCCCGCGTCATCCCCTGGGAACCCCTCCTGGATATGATGGAAAGGCCCGTGCGTGGCCTCTGGTCGAAGCATCATCAAGAGTCGCTGCGCAGCCTTGCCTCGCAATGTACCTGGACCCGAGGCAGACTCTGCAAGCGCGGTCTCGCCGAGGACCCGCTGTGCCAGCTGTGTCACTGCGCTCCAGGGACCCTTCTGGCATCGCCGACGTGTATGCCCAGCTATGCACGGTGAAAGGATCACGGCCTGCAGCACGGAGTTACTGGAAGCCGCGTCCCGACTCGAGGCCTGGCATCAGGACCTTGGAAAGGCGGCGGCAGGCATCTTCTCTCTCCCCTTTGAGCTGGCTCCTTCCCCCCTCTTCGCCTGTCAGGCAGGGATTACCTGGGTGAATCGGCCAGAAGACGGGGTCCTGCGGGGGCATGTTTTCTCCGGCGGGTCTTGCCGTGACCCTGTGGGCCCATCGCTGGCCCGCGCGGGCTGGGCCCTCGCCGTGATGGACGAGGATGGTCGATTCATCTCATCATGTTTTGGCGCAGTTCCGCTCGCGGCAGCGACTTTTTAATCGGCGAGAGACGGTGGAGATTATGCGGTATATATGGCAGCCTGCGGGGCAGTGGATGTGATGGGTGTCTAATTCTATATAGATTGCAGCGGCGCGCTCGGGGCGCTCCGATGCCCGCCGTTTGCGATGAGCTCGAGCTGCCCGCGATGGCATTTATGGTCGCGTGTTTTCCATGCCTCTCATGGAGTCACCCCACGGCCACCAAAGTAAAGGCACGCGCCAGCTGGGCCGACGTGGAGGTAGGTCGGACCGCCACCTTCGCTAAACTTGTCTCGGATGTTGCGGGTAAATATGCGAATGTGGGAGCCGACTGCCACCCCAGCACGGTAGAGGCCCAAGCTGTTGGGAGAGTTTTCAAGCAAGTTGCCCGTGAGGCGGCTCACTGGGCAGCGGAGCAAGAGGTTCTGATGGCCAGTCGCAGCTTGAAGGACTCTCGAGACATCCCCGAGCTTGTGCTCGGAGCCAAAGGTCGTGACCGCCAGCAGCCAGGGCCCCCTCGAGAGCTTCGAAACGGGTCGGCAGGCTTTCGCTCTGAACCCTAGGGCCCAGGCCGGCCTCGACCTCCTCGTGTGGCTCTCTCGGCACGCTTTCATGAAAGCAACTGTTTTTGGAGTCGGCGGACGGCGAGTGATCCGAGGCTCGACGGTTTTATTTTGCACGGCCTGTGGGGCGTACAGCTGGGGTGGGAGAGTGTCTCTTTGTAAGACCTGCCCAAGGCCCCAAGATGTTTCGATCGCCCTCCGGAGACAAAAAGGACGTGCTGCCAAACGCCTCTTTCCTGGGTGGGCTCCACAATACAGAGGGTGGACCACAGGGGAACCGCGACCAGCAGCACCCATAGATCTAGAGCTCGCTGCCCGTTCCAACGGGTCCACTATTAAGCCGCCTACTGATGTGGGGGTGGAGGCGTCGGGACTTGGTGGGCGGGGGGTCTGGGGGGAGAAATGGACTGCTGACCAGGTCTCGGCTCGTTTTGGGCCCACGCTCGATGATGTGAGCCGCTGGAGCCAGAGACTTGAGAGAATTCAGATGGGCCCGAAGCATCCAGGCAACGAAGCCCTGGAATGATGTGTATTGTCTTTGTTCAACCTCCTGATTGAGGGGCGGATTATTGCTGGCTGAGGCTTGTCACCGACCTCCTCCGCCCTGGGGAACAGAAACAAAGGAGGGGGAAGAGGAGGGGAGGAGGCGGCGGCGGAATGGGAGGGGAAGGGGAAGGAGGAGTTGGAGGAGGAACGCGAGGATGATGAGGGGGAGGATGATCAGGAGGAGGCTGCGGAGGCGGAGGCGGAGGAGGGGAAGGAGGCGGAGGAGGATGATGATGATGATGATGAGGAGGAGCAGGATAACACATTACATATTCATTGCACCAATCATACCATTAGGACTAGTTTTATTAGGTGTATTGCTACGAAGAAGAATACTATCACGAGTTAACCGATGAAGACACAGAAGACGGCGCGTCCACATAAAAGTAAACAAACTGTTGGATAATCAGAACCGTACGAATAATACTAACAGTACGACTACGACGAACAACAACATTACGACTACGGGTAGTAGTAGTAGTAGTAGTAGTAGTAGTAGTAGTAGTAGTAGTAGTAGTAGTAGTAGTAGTAGTAGTAGTAGTAGTAGTAGTAGTAGTAGTAGTAGTAGTAGTAGTAGTAGTAGTAGTAGTAGTAGTAGTAGTAGTAGTAGTAGTAGTAGTAGTAGTAGTAGTAGTAGGTAGCGGGGCCTCGGGGTTCCGAACCCCGGAGTTCAGCAGTTCACGCTGAACTGCTGAACTTCGGGGTTCGGAACCCCAGGCCCCCGCCGCCGCCGGCGCCCCCCCCGGGGCCAAAAAAACCTGAACTTCGGGCTTTCGAGAGTCGGAACCCCGAAGCTACTACTACTACTATACTACTACTACTACTACTACTACTACTACTACTACTACTACTACTACTACTACTACTACTACTACTACTACTACTACTACTACTACTACTACTACTACTACTACTACTACTACTACTACTACTACTACTACTACTACTACTACTACTACTACTACTACTACTACTACTACTACTACTACTACTACTACTACTACTACTACTACTACTACTACTACTACTACTACTACTACTACTACTACTACTACTACTACTACTACTACTACTACTACTACTACTACTACTACTACTACTACTACTACTACTACTACTACTACTACTACTACTACTACTACTACTACTACTACTACTACTACTACTACTACTACTACTACTACTACTACTACTACTACTACTACTACTACTACTACTACTACTACTACTACTACTACTACTACTACTACTACTACTACTACGCTAACAAGAATAATGCGAACACGAACAGGACTAAACATACTACTGCGACGACGGATGCAAATACGAACAATCAGAAGCACACGAAGTGGACTAATGAGACTAAGCAGAGTAATGCTACTAATGCGATGAATAATCATACGAATACGAAGCCGAAACAGAGGAGGAGGAGGAGGAGGAGGAGGAGGAGGAGGAGGAGGAGGAGGAGGAGGAGGAATCTGAGGAGGAAGAGGAGGCGGAGGATGGGGGAGGAGGAGAAGGAGGAGGAGGAGGAGGAGGAGTGGAGAGGAGGAGGATGAACAGGAGGAGAAGCTGGAGCAGGAGGAGGAGGAGCAGGAGGAGGAGGAGGAGGAGGAGGAGGAGGAGGAGGAGGAGGAGGAGGATGAGCAGGATGAGGACGAGGAGGGGGAGGGGGAGGAAGGGGAGGAGGGGAAGGAGGAGGAGGACGAGGACGAGGACGAGGATGATGATGTGGATGAGGATGATGATTCTGATGCTACTGATGATGATGAAGATGATGATGATGATGATGATGATGATGATGATGATGATGATGAGGATGATGATGATGATGATGATGATGATGATGAGGATGATGATGATGATGATGATGCTGATGATGATGATGATGATGATGATGATGATGATGCTGAATCTGGTGCTGGTGCTGGTGCTGATGGTGATGCAGTTGCTGATGATGATGAGGATGCTGCTGCTGATGCTGATGATGCTGATGATGCGGATGATGATGAGGAGGCGGAGGAGGAAGAAGAGGAGGAGGAGGGGGAGGAGCAGCAGGAGGATGAAGAGGAGGAGGAGGATCATGCTGGGATTAGGCTACTCAGATCCAACGCCTGATGGAAAGCTCAAACACGGATACTCAATATTTATTGCTACACACATGGAGGCAGGTGCGTGGAAGGAAGATATCCTACACGAGACAAGACACGCCGCACCTCGGCCGCAACAGGTGTGTGAGAACACGAGTGCGCTGCGCGAGTTGTAACTATCCGTCCCCATCCGCGACCTTCGGCGGTCCGGCCAGGCACGGAAGACATATGCAACGTGCTCGCAGCCTACCACGAAAACAAAGCACACCCAATTGAACATTCATAAATGCGATGACAAGTCAGCTCATGGCCCGCGTACTGCAGCATTGAATTGGGACGAACAACTGGACGGTACTGTGTGGCGATCGCACCAATCCACACGTTCATGAACCAACCAACCACAGAAATTTCGATTTGGACGATGCTGCAGTGGAAGGTTGAGCAAAGTGTAGAACTGATTACGAATATGCACTCTCACCAATACTTTGAATTACAACGTGGAGCGTGAAGGAAAGCGGCATTTGCCTTGCTTGTCCCGCGGGGCCTGGGCCAGGCTAGCCAGTATCGCCACCTCTTCACGGGCATGCTGCCGTCGACCCTGTAGTCGAGCTCCGCGCCTGCACCGCCTTGGACCCAAGAGTGGGTCCTCGCCTTCTTCCGCCAGTAGTGGCAGGGGCGTTGGCCATTCACCACCGCTGGCACCTGTAACCTCGTCGGCGTGACATCGCTGGCTGACACTTTCCGCACACGAGCAGCTGCGGGCCCTCTCCCACTGGGGCGCCTACCTCCGCGCTCGGGACTACGCAGCCCCGGCCCACTGCGCTACCACCAACGGGATGGTGTCAGCATGGTCCCGCTGCGGCTCGGGACGTCATTGCCATCTCGAAGTTTGACGGCCCAACTCGGGGGGGTCGGCCAGACGCGCACCTCCCGCCCACCCTGAGCGAGATGGTTGAGGAGGAGGAGGAGGAGGAGGACGAGGAGGAGGAGGAGGAGGAGGAGGAGGAGGAGGAGGAGGAGGAGGAGGAGGAGGGTGAGTCCATGTGGCCCTTTAGCCTTCACCTCCCCGGACCTCCCCTCTGACGCGTCCTCTCCTTGTCCCCCGCGTCCTCCTCCCCCTTCCTCCTCCGATCCTCCTCCTGCTCCGCCTTCTCCTCCTCCTCCTCCTCTTCCTCCTCCCGCCGCCACTCTGGCTCGAAGATTCGCACCCTGACTGTCACTTTCTTCATCGCCGACTCCGTGCGCTCCGCCGCGGAGATGGCCGCCGCCCTCCGCGCCGTCCTGGCCGTGGTGCTGCCTCTGCTCTCGGGCGCCATCATCGTCAAAGAGCTGCCCAACTCCACCGATGCGAGGCGGGGCGACGGAGGAGGAGGAGGAGGAGGAGGAGGAGGAGGAGGAGGAGGAGGAGGAGGAGGAGGAGGAGGAGGAGGAGGAGGAGGAGGAGGAGGAGGAGGACGAGGAGGAGGGGAGAAGGAGGAGGAGGAGGAGGAGGAGGGCGAGAAGGATGATGAGGAGGACGAGGAAGAGGAAGAGGAGGAGGGAGGAGGAGGTGAGGAGGAGGAGGAGGAGGAGGGAGGAGGAGGAGGAGGAGGATGAGGACGAGGAGGAGGAGAAGGAGGACGAGGAGGAGGAGAAGGAGGAGGAGGAGGAGACGAGAAGGATGATGAGGAGGACGAGGAAGAGGAGAGGAGGAGGGAGGAGGAGGTGGAGGAGGACAGAGGAGGAGGGAGGAGGAGAGGAGGAGGAGGAGAGGAGGAGGAGAGGAGGAGGAGGAGGAGGTGGAGGAGGAGGAGGAGGAGGAGAAGGAGGAGGAGGAGGAGGAGGAGGAGGAGGAGGAGGAGAGGAAGGCGGAGGAGGAGGAGGATGAGGAGGAGGAGGAGGAGGCGGAGGAGGAGGAGGAGGAGGAGGAGGAGGAGGGGGAGCATCAGGGGGAGGCACAGAGGGAGGGCCCGTGTGCCGATCCTGGCCGGGCCCGCCCGGGTCCCCAGGACCAGTGCACCGCTGCGGCGTTCCAGATAAGAGGCGCCGCCCCTCGCGGGATCGAAGAGGAGTTGCCACCTCTGTCTCTGGGGTAGGCGCCCGCCCGGGTCCCCAGGACCGGTGCACCGCTGCGGCGTTCTAGACAAGAGGCGCCGCCCTCTCGGGATCGGGGAGGAGTTGCCACCTCTGTCGCGGCGGACACGAAGCGAGGTCGGCTCCGCGGACGCAAGCCAGCGGAAGTATTCTGGGCCTCCAAGGTGCGGTCCGAGTAGGTGGGGTCGGAGGGTCGCGCCGCATCGCCGATGCATCGGCGATGCTGCTCGATGTGGAGCCTGATCTTCTCCACGCCGATGGTGCCGATGTTTTGCCGAAGTCGCCGATGCATCGCTGGTGCATCGGCGATGTGTCGCCGATGCATCGCTGATGCGGCGCGATCCCCCGACCACATCTTCTCGGAGCCCATCTGAGAGGCCTCTAGGTACAAGATACCCCCCTCCAAGATGGCAGCGTTTTTGGGATCAGGGTTGCCGAGCCCGACCATGGTGCCTCCCTGAGCAGGCGCCAGGGCATCGCATGCATCGATGCTGGGCGTCGGTTGGGCCTGGCCTTACGTCGGGCATGTCCCTCTACAAGAGGAGTATTCAAAAATAGTCAAATTTTTCGACTATTGAATCGCTTCGCTCATTCCGCCGGCCCGTGGGGGCCTCTTGGGGGCCTCTTAGGGCCTCCAAGAGGCCTCTTGGGGGCCTCTTAGAGCCTCTTGGGGGCGTCTTGGGGGCGTCTTGGGGGCCTCCTGAGGGCTCTTGGTGGCCTCTTGGGGCCTCTTAGTGGCCTCTTGGGGCTTCCTGGAGGCCTCTTAGGACCGAGGGCTTGAAATGTTGTTTCGTGCTCCCCCTCTGGGGCCGCTCTTGGGGCGCTCTAGGGGCCCTCTTGGGCCGTCTTGGAGGCCTCTTGGGCCGTCTTGGGGCCCTCTTGGGCCGTCTTGGAGCCCTCTTGGGGGCCTCTTGGGCCCTCTTGGGGCGATCTTGTGGGCCCTTTGGGCCGTCTTGGGGCGTCGGGAAGCCGAAAAGGTGGAAACACCCAAATCTTTCCAAAACCTGAGGAAAAGCACTGATTTTTGCATCTTGGGGCCCTCTTGAGAGTCTTGGGGCGTCTGGGGGCCATCTTGGGCGTCTTGGAGCGATCTTGTGGCATCTTCGAGCCCTCTTGTATCATCTTGGGGGCCTCTTGGAGGCCTCTTGACCCTTCTTGGGGCTCTCTGGAGGGTCTCGAGGGCGGCGCCCAGACGGCAAACCATCTCTGATCCGACCCTGCCGGGGTAGTTCTCCTCCGGGGACCCCCAGGGGCCGCCCCCCACGCGCGAAGTAGAAATACTGTAAAGCAGTTACCGGAGATCTTAGCACGCCTCTGGCCCGTTGGGCTGGCGAATTTCTCGGAGAATTTGTGAGCATCCTTGATGATTTTTGGATTATTTCTAGTCCGACATTCGCCTGTAGGGGGGCACGCCCGACCTATGCTTGGCCAGCATCGGCGTATATGTGGGCGCTGGCCAGGCGAACGTAGTCGGCCCACCTCCATCATCCCAGGGGTGCTGGGCACAACGCTTTGGGGGAGCGCCCCGGCTCTCAGTTTGAGCTGGGGCCACGGAGTTTGGGGGCGGAAAAGAGGGGGGTGATGACTGGGGGGGGGTGGATATCATGGCGTGGGCCATGCTATTTCCCCAGATCTCATGGCGCCTCTTCTTATTCCATTACGTCCCTGGCCCCCCCCCCCGGGCCGCGCACATGCCGCCGGCCACGATTTGCACCCCCCCCTCTTGGACGCCCCCCTCTTGGCCGCCCCCGAGGAGTGGCCAGACCCCCCCCCCCCGCGTTCCCCGTGCTCGCCCCTCCCCGCCCCTTTGGCACCGGCGGCGAGAGCGTGCTCTCCCGCGCGCGCGCACGCAGCCGATGCCTGGCGAGGCCTGTCCTGGGCCCAGGGGCTGGTGCACATGACCCAGGCCTCCTCGCGTGGCGAAACCGGAGGGTGTCAAAGGGGGTTTTTGGGGAGGGGGTTTTCCAGAGAGCCCCCAGGGGCCTCGGAGCCTCGTCAAAACAGGGGGTGCGAAACCCCTGGGGGACGCCTCCTGGAAAACCCCCTCCCCCACAACCCCCTTTGGAACCCTCTGGTGAAAAACTCCCGACGGGAGGGCTTTCGCCATTTTCGACCTCAGGGGACCCTCCCCGGGCCTCGGGGCCATCAAAATACGTTTCAGGATGAAAAACCGGTCCTTGGCAAGGGGTCGATCGAGACCTCTGGGTGTCGACGTCGTGAAGGAAACAAAAAACATCCGACGTCGGGGGTCTGGGGACTCCCTGGCCCGGCAAGGAAGGCGCGGGCACCGATGCTGGGCCCAGGATCGGCCTGGTTGGTGCCGGGGTGCGTGCACAGTTCTCGCGCGCCGACGCCAGGGCCGCGGAGCAGCCCCAGCAGATGGCCCTGATCCAGGACGGCGGCCAGTGCGCTGCCCTGAGGGCAGGGAGGCCCAGTAACGGCCAGGCAGGCCCTCCAGGGGGCCCATGACACAGTCAGCACGGCAAGTGATCCCAGAACGCTGACGCTGTGATTTTTCATAGGCTGTGGGTCCCGGGAGGTCCGGACTTGTTCCCGGGATGGGCTTTTCATCCCGAGTCGTTTTTTGACGGCCCCGGGGCCCGATACGAGCCCCTTTGAGGCCGAAAGGAAGGAGCAACCTTCCTTTATATTTTTTCCCACGGGGGTCCAGCGTGGATCCAAGAACTCCGCGCGGACCGGCGAAAGTTTCTGCTTATGCTGTTCTTTGTCCCTCTATTTCTACGCGTACCCTTCGCAGGAGTGACCCTTGCTGCGGGCTCAACAGATCCCACGATCTCTGCGCGCGATGAGGCAGCGGCTGCTTGCGCGCTGAGATTAGGCCACCTTGCGCCCGCCACCTTGGTCCGCGCACGAAAGGTCACTCGGGCCCGCTGGCCGGGGAACTGGAGCAGCATGTCGCGCGTTCGCTGGGAGGCCGTGGGCGACCCAGCAGAGGGCTCGTGCACGGGGTGGGCTTCTGCCGAGCTCGGTGGGCCGCAGAAGCATCTGATTCAATGCGCGCACAGAAGCTGCCCACTTGTTGTTCAGGTCACGATTCATGGCATGAGCTTGCTTATTGCAGTTCGGCTTGTGCGGTGTTTGCGGTTTGCGTAGCGACTTTTTGTTCCGCGATCTGGTTGTGCCACCGCTTGTGTTTCGCGTGGTTAAACAAGTCATTGGGGCCTTGTATGTCCTCGAAATTCAGTCATCCGAGTGCATCCGCTTGCCATAGCGCTTGGTATTCGATGAGGAAGCGCCAATGCAGCATCGAGTAGCGTCAATTGAGCGTCGATTAGCATCGAGTCAGCGTCGATTAGCGTCGACTCGCGTCGATTTGTGTCGGCCTGCGCTGATTCGCAAGAGCCAGCAAGATGACATGGGGGTTCCCATGGGTTGCCACAGCGCTCGTGGTGGCGGGTTTGGAGTGCGGAGCGTGTGGGGCCGATCGCCTCTGTTGGCCTTCGGGGCCTGGGGTGGCCAGCCGCCCGCGTACCCAGGAACACGCGGCCGTCGCCGCGCACAGCTCCGGGATTCCGTTCATCGGGACCTCGGTGCTCAGGGACAACGAGAGGAGGAGGGGAGGAGGAGGAGGAGGAGGAGGAGGAGGAGGAGGAGGAGGAGGAGGAGGAGGAGGAGGAGGAGGAGGAGGAGGAGGAGTTTTTTGGATTGCAAGGCTGATGAAGCACAGTGCCTGTCAGCAATAAAAAGCAGCGCGACGCTGGCAGAATATTAGCGGGAGCTAAAAAGTTCTGCACGGGCGCTAAGTTAAACAGCCACCACCAGTTCAGGGCAGTTAAAAGCAACAGAGAACAGCAGGGCAGTCCTGCTGGTCCTGGTTGCCGACAACTCCCTGGCGACCGGTCAAGTAAGGGTGAGCAGTGACAGAAGGCGGCGAGCTCGCAATTCCCTGGCATCGCCGAGCCTTCACAGTACCAGAGAGGAGAGTACAGACTTCAAAGCAAGGAGACGGGGGAAGTCGTGCAAAGTATCTGCAAGCTCGCCCGTGGGAGACCACGACAGGCACGAGTGTCGAAATCGTGTCGGAGTTTGCAGGAACCAGAGCACAACCAACTTCCAGTATGAACTGCGAGGAGGAGGAGGAGGTTAGGAGGAGGGTAGGCATTGGGGGGGATGCATCGGCCCCCACTCGTCCGTCCATCGTCGACGGGGGCCCGATGGCCCACCCCCGCCCAGAGCGTGGGGTTCGGGATCGGGGGCCTGTCGCCGATCTATCGGCGACGTATCGCCGTTTCCAGGTCGATGTCTCGCTTCCTTGTGCCAGTCCCCCCCTATCGTTGGCCCTCAGGTGCAGCTCTCGCTGACGCAGATCATCGATCCGATTAAGCAGAGCCTGCTGAGGCTCAAGGAGTGGATCGTCACGCAGCTGGCGTCGCTGGACGCGGGCCTCACTAAGACCCAAGAGATGCCCGAGAAGGCGCTCGAGGTGTTTGCGACAAAACTCAGCGCCCTTTTCGAGGCGATTGACCTGCAGCTGCAGCCAGTCACCAGCAAGCTGTCGGCCGACAGCCCGGCCATAGATGGCCTGAGCAAGGTGCTCACGGCCACCGGCCATCCGGGTGTCGCAGACAAGATCACCGAGGTCATGGACGCGATGAGCAAGCAGGTTCAAGCGTACGAGAAGACCTTGAGCAGCAGCGCCGACGTCGCGGACGGCCTGAAGAACCTGACCAAGGACGACTGGCACAAGGCAGGCCCGAAGATTGAGGAGCTGAAGAAGTACCTGGACACGGGTGCGTCCGCGATCAAGTCCTTTGGGGACACGCTCCAGGCAAAGGTCGAGGAGGCGCTCACGGTGCTTGCCGGCAGCCTCGGCGTCGAGGCCTCCGTGTTCTCGCCGATCTCGCAGGCCGCCGGCGACGGCTGGCACTACCTGGGAGACTCCTCGACGGCCCTGGCCGCTGGCATCGTGTCCTCCTCGCAGATGCTCCCCCCTGAGATCAAGGATCTGTGTGATCGAAATCGGTACAGTCATCGGCCTGACCTAAGGAACGATAAATAAGGAACGAAGACCCTTTTTTTTATCCCAAGGAATAACGCATAAGGAACGATAGATAACAAATAGCGCATAAGGAACTGTAAATCACGCATGCAAGCCTAAGGGACGACCGAGCCCCTTTTGAAAAGTAAGTGTTCCTTGCTCAAGCCGCTCACTGTACAGAAAGGATGGGCACGAAGATCGACAGCATGTTCTGCTCATTTTGAGCAGGACTCGCCTCGCTGTCGGTGTCGCCGCGGACGTTGTCCACCTGAGACAGAAGGCCGCCCGCACAACATTTGTAGAACGTCTGTTGTTGGGTATCGTGCCCATTTTTCCTACCCGTTTCGGGCGTCCAAGAAGGAGCCGTGGGACGCCAACCGTCCCAGGATCAGTGCATGCGCCCTCCTGCCCAGGCTGGGAATTGGGACACTTTCGCCAATCCTCGCGACAAAGCCAGTTTTTTTTTGGGGGGGGATCACCACAAACTGCGCAAGCATCACTAGAAGAAAAGCTGTCTGCCTGATGCGATCCAGACTGGCTCCTCCTCCTCCTCCTCCTTTCCCTCCCTCCTCCTCCTTTCCCTCCCTCCTCCTCCTCCTCCTCCTCCTCCTCCTCCCCCTCCTCCTCCTCCTCCTCCCCCCTCCTCCTCCTCCTCCTCCTCCTCCTCCTCCTCCTCCTCCTCCTCCTCCTCCGGGTGCACAGAAGGACTTCTCCTGCAGTGCCCTGTTGGAGCGGCACGGGCGAGGTCTGGCGCCCCCCCCCCCTCTCCCTGCGGAGAGGGCCTGGCCGCCTGGCCGCGACGACCAGTGCGCAGCCGGCCACGGTGGGCAACGACGGCGGGCTCAAGAGACGGGGGTCAGTGCAAACGGGGGCCAGCCAGGGCACCGGATCCTGCAGGATCCCGCGAAGACCCCCTCTGGCTGACCCAGGTTTTAGCGAGCCGCTCGTGGCCGCGAGGCGGCCGCGCATGCTGGCTGACCCGGGTTTGCGAAGACCTGCGTGGCAGTTTTTTTTTTTTTTTTCCTGCATTGCAGTTTTTGGTGTCCTGCTGACCCGGGTCTGGATTGACCCGGGTGCCGAGGCCACGCTCGCATGCTTGCACGCCGCTTACCCCAAACTTGATTTCCCGCCGAGTGTACGAAACACAGGCAGGCTGCTCCGTAGATTGAAGTCGGGCCTGTCCCTCCACATGAGGAGCATTCAAAGATAGGAAAAATAGTCAGGGGACGATGTTTGGCCATTTTTGAGCATTTTAGTTGTATTTTTTGACTATTCTTCATTTTTCGTCCAAAATCCCCCTGTAGGGGGACAGGCCCAACTTAACCGTAGATCCACAGACTATTCTGCCCATTTTTCTCAGGGGTCCGACCAGGCAACAAATTCTGGGGGCAGTCAATTCTGTGGTCGATCCCCTCCTCGAACGCTCGGGCCATCCCTGCCTGCCCGGGCCACCCTCGCCAGCTGCGCCCCAGGGCCTCGCATCCCGGCGCTGCACCCTCGCCCCTGGGCTGCCGCTCCTCAGGGAAGCGAGAGTGGGGCCTCGGCCCCGCCGTGCCCTCGGCGCCCGCGTGGCACACTCCCGCCCTGCGGCCGGGAACCTCTGCTCCGCGCTCCGCGCCGCCGCC